GGAATGCCCTGCCTGCAAAAGTAGTAGACTCGCCAACTTTAACGGCATTTAAATGGTCATTGGATAAACATATGGATGATAATGGAATAGTTTAGGTTAGATGGGCTTCAGATTGGTTTCACAGGTCGGTGCAACATTGAGGGCCGAAGGGCCTGTACTGCACTGTAATGTTCTATGTTCTATGTTCTATGATACAGTTTATGGAATATAGAAGAATCTGAGAAGAAATCAGGATAATGGTTTAATGTTGCATTTTGTGGGGCTGTAATTTCAATTAATCAATGAAGGATTCCACGTGAGAGATGGCTGATCTTATTCAAAATTGTGAGTTTTGAAGAAAGTGATCATCAACTGAAATAAACATTTTTTATCATCTTAATGAAGAGTACGTAGACTAAGATGCAATGATTTTGCTATTATACATAAGTAGACTGGAGTTTGTGATCATACAATCAGATATGTGAATGCAACGGGGAATCCAGAATCAATCGGGTTAGGTTGTGTGGAGAAAAAGCATTTGTATGAACAGAGCATAGAAGGGAACAAAAAGAATGCTGGCACAAGTTGTTTAAGCGAGTGGAAAAAGACTTACAGGTATATTAGAGAAGGAGATTTGGGAAGAAAATAGTCAGTAATGAACAGTTGGTGGGAGGCTCAATTTTAACTTATTCAAAACCCATTTGTTTACACAGAATTAAAACTGGACCATGATGTGAATACTTGTATGTGTTGAAAATCTGAATTGATTGTCATACTTTATAGGCAATAATGAATGGACAAAACAATTTCAAAATGCCAAGGTGTTGTCACAGCCAACATGACTTTCAAAAGAACTGCATAATAATTAGAGATATGTATTAATTTTTAACTCATCTCAGCAACAATATAAATCTCTTAGGAGTGTCAAATTATATTATAAATTTAATATATTACACAATTAAAAGAATCATTAAACAAATGATGCATACTGTTTTGGCTGTACGTAGTGCTATTATCAATCATGTGTAATGGATTATAAGGTTTGTCTCATGAGGTCAATAATAAACCTGGAATATTTATGACACAAAAATATTTTAGACCAAATAATTAAAAGAAGTTTTTGCAGACTGTTTCTTGTTCGTGAACTTTACATTTAATTGTAAGAACGGCCATCCACTCATATAGGTCAACTGTTGTAAGGATTAGAAATGCTAGAAAAATTATTTCCTAATTCTTGATTCAGGAATGCCTACTTCCCAAAACAAGGAAAAACTTCTTTTGTCAAGTTGCAGACTCTTTCAGTAACTGTGATTTCTGGGTCATGGAGCTGCAAGGGTTGCATTGTCAAAGGGAATCACTCAAATGAGATGGAAAGTGGCATTCCTTGCCTTGAGTTGTGCCTGATGTTCCTATTCTTCCTGATGATAAAATTTGTCAAAGAACAGTGCAGTGCAGAAGGATGCTGTGGGCCATGTAAGTGAGCCAGAAAAGAAATCTTGACACTTCTGAGCCAGGACAGGAAGGAGCAGTAGATAACACAGTGTGGAGCTGGAGGAACACAGCAAGCCAGGCAGCATCAGAGGAGCAGGAAAGCTGTTGTTTCAGGTCAGGACCCCCTCCCCATTTCTGAAGAAGAGTCCCAACCCGAAACGTCAGCTTTCCTGCTCCTCTGATGCTGCCTGGCCTTCTGTGTTCCTCCAGCTCCACACTGTGTTATCTCAGACTCCAGCATCAGCAGTTCTTACTATCTCTCAGGAAGGAGCAGTACATTTTGGGTGTGCTGTTCTTGTCCATTTCAGGGTAGGAAGACTCAAACTTTGTCATAAAGTCCTGGTGAGAACTAAATTGAAATAAGAGAGACTGTAAGTTAAAAACTGTATCTGGCATGATCTGTTTTTGCTACATCGGCAATTAAGAATTGGTGTGGGATGAAAATAAGTCTATTATTAACTGTCAAATATTTAAAATATTGAATAGAAAATTTGGAATGTAGCCTAAGTTTTTATTGAATGAAAATTGCCCATTTCACTCAAAACATTACAAATGTTATTTGTCCCCCATGCTTGAGATAACTGCGTCTAGCCAATTTGTTAATTATGAAAAAGGTGGAAAAAGTTACCAGTCACAAATCAGCAAAGTACACAGAAAAAACTAATCATATTATTTATTTATGTATCAAGGAGGCAATGGCCCAATGGTATTTTCACTGGACTGTTGATCCAGAGGTCCAGTAATGCTCTGGGGACCTGGCTTTGAATCCTGCCACAGCAGATGGTGGAAATGGAATTCAATAAAAATCTGGAATTAAGAGTCAAATGATGACTATGAATCCATTGTTGATTGTTGTGGAAAAACCCATCTAATGGCATTTAGGGAAGGACACTGCCATCCTTACCTGGTCTGGCCTACATGTGACTACAGACCCACAGCAATGTGGTTGACTTTTAATTGCCCTCTAGGCAATTAGGGATGGGCAATAAATGCTGCCTAACCAGAGACACCCTCATCCATTGAATGAATAAAAAAAAGTTATTTTAAACTACCATCATAAATCAACAGCTACCACTAAACATTACAATGGATTTGTCATAACTATATATGACTGAATCTCATTTTTTTTTTGGCTAGGTGTGCATTGCATCAAGTTTTTGGAGCATTTTTCACTGTGAGGCCTAATGAGTTTCCTAACAACTATCTCACCAAACTCACCTCATGAACTACCTCTCTCACCCTATGGCATATGGGCACACATCTGATTCCAGCCCACTCCTATCCTGTAGTGTTCTTAGAACAAGTCACTCCTGTTGAGATGTCTTGGAATTCACCCACATCCCTTGTATCCATGCCATCTTCAAAAGCCTATTGTTCATCTGGACAAGCTCTGTCAGTCAAAAGCCCTCTGCACTGTTTCTGACAGTTGCCCCAGACATAGCTGACAAAGATAAATTTGTGCCCTGCTTTGTGGGTTGGACCTGGAGGTCCTGCTGGATGGGGTCGTGCAGAGACGGGACTTCCTCTTTCTCCAGAAACAGCAGAGAAAGCCTTGATACCAGATCATGCCAGGTTTGAAGTTGCCATCCAGGTTAGAGCAGTCTTAGTCATCTGAAATTATGCCAGCTCTGTAGGAAGCAGATCAATATTCTTATCCATTCTGCAACATAGTGCCATCATCTTCTCTACAATATTTCATACTCACTCTATCTCTGATATTGTACCTACCTCTCATCAAGGCTTATGCTCGACCACTTTCACAATTGCCTGCAACATCTTCCCTCACTCACTGTCATCCACCCAACCACTGATAGCTCTAACCACTGATAGCACTGAAAGATGACAGCTAAAGAGACAAAATGACTTCAGTTGTAAATTCAATGGTTGTCTGGAGACAACATGTCTGGAACTGGTAGACTATAACACTGAAAAGTGTCAAGGAACTTCAAATAGAGAGAGAAGGTGACTTGAAATAATGAGGGGGCTGACTATTCCCCCACCCAGGCAGACAGCCAAGTTTTGCAGACAATTTTTGTGGTTTTCCCTTTCAGAAATATGCAAAAGAAGGGGATAAAAGTGAGCTTCGGCACTTTTCTATGTGTTATCGTAAGGCTCTTGTGGACTAGAGTGTGTTGAGTATCCAATGGAAGTCACACCTTGAGAACAGCTGGTAAGCTGCAAACCACTTGAAAAAGGATTCAGGACAAAGAAACTTCAATCAGCCTACTGAACTGGAATCTGAAAAATCGACTGTTCCACTTCCAACAACAGCATTACCAGTGCAACCCAATAATGGACATAGCATTATCTTGTTTGCTCTTCACAAACAATTCAAAGATTGAGTCATGCAACCTTTTAAGTTAACTTTTATCTTTTTGGACTGACCTCATATTTCTAATCTGTGTTATGCACGCTGCGTTAGCATTTCCTCTTGCAGGCAGAAATTAATAAAGTCACCATTTTGTTAATTCAAGAAATCCAGGATAAATTAGCTCTTTTTAAAACATAAGTTTGGTAGTCTGGGGAAAAAGGATCCTTTTAAAATTAGAGACAACAAGGTGCAGGGCTGGATGAACACAGCAGGTCAAGCAGCATCATAGGAGCAGAGAGGCTGACGTTTCGGGCCTAGACCCTTCATCAGAAAAGGGCTGACGTTTCGGGCCTAGACCCTTCATCAGAAAAGCGGCTGACGTTTCGGGCCTAGACCCTTCATCAGAAAAGGGCTGACGTTTAATTAACTCTGTTGCAGCTGAGGAGGTGGGTCAATAAAGAAGGAGAGCTATTACATTCCTTTCTCAACTGGGAGTTTAAATTATTTGGCGTATCCTGCTTGGAACCCTAATGAATTGAGGGACCTTTTATGGGGCCTAGTCATAAATATAATAAAATATTTTATTATTTGTCCAGTTAAATGTGCTTAGTATTTTCTTAGCTTGGTTTTGGGTTTGTTTTTTTTCCTGATGAAGCACTTTCTATAATTTTGTTTTTCCCAATGTATTTCAATTTACTGGGCAAGTACTAATGACATTCTGTTACCCCCCAAAACAAAAGTGAACTTACGTGAAAAGGATCTTTTTCTTGGATTTTATTTGTGCATTAGAAGTTAGTTCAGTACAGTGACTGAATTCAGAAAGATTTACATGCTAGATGTTACAAAATGACTAAATTCAAATTCTTTACTTCCTTAAAAGGAGTTAACTCATTTATCAAATTAACTAATTCCACCATTGGAGAGAAGAATTTGATACAAATATATTAAAACATAATTCATCACGGTAATTACAGGGTTTACATCAATGAAAGAACTAACCTTCGTTTATAAATTTCTTCCGCAGTTCCAGATCGTATCAATGCATTTCACAACCAATGAACTATTTTTGAAGTGGAGTCATTGTTGTAGTCAGGATTATGCAGGAAGGTTAGAAGATGAATGCAGTTCTGTCTAACTAAATTCATTTTATTTTCCCAGTGCCTATAACCTGGAATAGGGATAAATACTTTTATTAATCTCCTTTTTCTGTTTTTTGCAGAAATATAAGGAACATGAGAAAACAGTATCTGTTCAAGAAATAGATGGACTCCAGCTTGTCAAAAAACTGGCAAAGGATATGGAAAGAATGTTTCGCAATAAAGCTGAAGCAGTAAGAGTAAGTACATCTCCAAGATAGGTAGAACAATTTTTATGACAATGTGCATCCCATCATAACCCAGTTTGCTTTTCATTTACCATTATAAAGGTATTTTCGGTCATGAAAACCTTCAAAGGAAATTTTCTGAAATTAATAATTGTGACAAATAACCTTTACTTCAGTGCAAATGCACACAGAGAATCAGAGAATGGTTGTAATATAGGAGGAGGGCATTCCGCCCTGTGTATCCATACCAGCTCTTTGTAGGAGCTAGTCCTGGATTCCCAATCCCCTGATTTTACGTGCGAGCCCTGCATTTTTTTTTCTATTCAGATAATGATCCAATTTCCTTTGAAAGCTGCAAGTGAATCTGCTTATATCACACCCTCATTATAGATCCGGGCCACTCTCTGTCAAAATAAAGTTTTCTCATGTTGCCTTTGGCTATTTTGTCAAACACATGAAATGCGTGTTCTCAATCTTTCTGCTAATAGAAGCATTGTGTCCCTATCTACTCACTCCAACCTTTTGATGATTTTGAACACCCCTATAAAATCTCTTCTCTACCGTCAGTTTTCTAAGGAGAACTGTCTCAGCCTCTCCAATCTATGTAACTGAGGTCCTTCTTCTTTGGAATCTTGATCGTTCATCTTTTCTTTACCCTTTCTAATGCCTGCACATTCTTCTTAAAGGGCAGGTGCCCAGAATTCAATATGATACCTGAGTTAAGGATGACCCAGTGAATTATGAATTTCATGTAACTTGTGTGCTTTTCTACTGTAAGCTATTACTTTTAAAGATCGGGACCCACTGTATTTTGTTAACTGCTTTTCAAAATCCAGCTTCTTGTGCGTGTTGCACATATGGTTATCCAGGGCTGGAGACATTTCCTGGAAATTTCACATTGACCTGTGTGTGCTGAACTAGTTTGAGTGCTCTGTCATGCCTTCATTTATGACGCTATTAAATGATTTAACAGAATTAAACTTAAGAATTAAGTAAATAAGATGGTGCAGTGACAGCACACTGTGCACATGATTGATGAAGAGTGAATCTGCATTCTACTGATAAGAATGTAATCCTTCTGCTCGGAATTACCCAGAAGTTACATCCAAATATGAAAAATATTAATTTTATAAGGCAATTAATGCACATTCTAAGCTAATCAAAATATGCGTTGCGTGTCCTCTTCAGGGGCCTGGCAGTAAAGCCTGTCTTTTCTGGTGAGATGAAATGACTGCAACTATGAATGGGTACCCATTGCATGATTTCTTTTAGATTAACAAAGCTACTTGTAATACTGTACATGCTTTCAATTGGTCAGCATTACTGTGCAACTGCAATGGTACATCCTTTTGTAGCCTGCCCAATTGAAGGTCTCATGTAAGTCATCTGCAGAAGTTTTTATGTGCAGTCTCATCATGCCCTGTGCTGCGTGTCTGGACTATGCCAGGCATTTCCTCACAGTGGTTCATGAACTTTTGAATTTGTTCGATCGTAGCCTCCTTTTATATTTCACGTGTTTCAATTTAAAATATCCAGCAGGAGTTTTGGGCTTTAGTTAAGATTAAAGGTTAACTTATTACGGAATGCTATTAAGTAAAAGGCACGAAGTTATTCGCTAAAGTACACGGACAAAATGCTAATGAAGGGAAAGGATAAAAGACTCTTATAAAGATGAAAATAAGATCAGTATTGAAGATTGTAGCAAGACTGTTATTTGCTCGAAGGCTCCTTTTCCAAAGTAAAGGGATTGAAACGTTGAAGTCAGAGTTCAGCAGCTGCGATGCCTTCTGCCATCGAATAATTGGAGGTTGTTCTCAGAGGTGGACTGAGCAAAACAGGTCTTACAAGTAAATGAAGGCTCCTCTGCTTTGCTTTTATCGTGCTTTAGATTGTGTCTCTTGACAGCTGGGTTCAGTACTGCAGGCCTGGAATTCTTTCTCCTGTTTCTGTATTGAGAAGCAATGATTGCTTCAAAGTATCTCTCTCATGGTCTTTACACAAAATTGTTGCTCAAAACCAGACTTTTAAACGGATTAAAACTTAAAATGGTTGTTAAGTCAAAACTGTTATACCATTCTTCTACTTTAGATATTGGGTTGGCCTAGGTCTAGGCACAGATCCATCCATTATCTTTTAGTCAAAGCAATTAATGTCTGTCTCAACAGTTAGTTTGATAGCACTCATCCTGTCAAGTTGTTAGTAAAATAGGAAGAACCATTCACACCTGCAGGGAAGTGTGGTCAAGGAATTACTGTTTATCCCTGGAAATATTCATTGAATTTCAAAAGCTCTCTTGTAATGTTTTCTTGAGATAATCACATTCTGGTCTCAATGTCAGCTGAACTAGCAGGGGTAGTCATGTGACTTCTGTAAGCCATTTCATTGGATTCTCTGCGTTTATTTTAAATGCAGGTTAGTCTTCTTTGAAAAATATATACTATAACTACACATTTATGATACCTGACTGCAGTGCATTCATGGTCGGTGTCTCACCTTGTGTGGATCCCACCAATAAGATACAGCCAATGTATCTGAACTGATGCTGCCACTCCAAAACAAAGTGATGGGGCTGTGCCTTCTTCATCAGACCATCACCTCTTCTTGGTGTTCATCCACATACTAGCTAGACTGCTGTTTTCTGAAAGCAAAACAACACAAAAGTCAAGTTGTGAAGGTAATGTAAAAAAGCAAGAGGTATATGTTTATACCATCTGCAGCTTGTAAATCAGAAGAAATCTTGGAATGAACAGCAAATAGGATCTGCCAAGAGTGGATTTGATATGAGTATACCACCATTTTCAAAGGTTTTGTCCCTCCTGTTGACAAAGGACTCAGCAGTGGTCAACACTGACTCCTTTATGGGGTAAGGACATTCAGTTAGCTATGCTGCTTCTATTGTGCAAGGTTATGCACCTTGTCCTCCACTAGAGACGGATGTATGTGAATGTGTGCAGTCTGTTGCTTGATGTAACTATTATGATTGAATAGCTGGCAGTGTGTGCATTTGGATGATTTGAGAAATAGTTGAAGCTACTGGTATGGATGGTGGGATATATATGACTTGAAGATGCAATTGCTGATCTTGATCACTCACGCAAACTCATTTACCTTCCAGCTGCACTGCATGTGGATGCAGTGGAGACTTAGTCTTAAATTCCAGTGTTGACTACCAAGGCTACTGGCTCCCATTGTCTTCTTACTTTGTGTGTGGAGGGCCTCCTGAGAACCCAGGATACCTCTCCTCTTTTCTATTACCTCCTGGAAGACCTTCACAGTGCAGCATTTAAGCACTTTGGATCCTTTTCTCTCCCATGTTGTGTTATTCTTCTTTATTTCCCGGTCAGATTTACTTGCAGCACAATCATCAGCACTAATCCAGCCTCAAAGGGCCTCCTATGGTGCAAACTAGCTTGAGGCAATGCAGCCTAGCATTAAGTATTGTTTGCGAGTTGCAATAATGGGCCTTTACTGCTGAAACATCCGATGAGCAGTATGGTTGCCGCTGGCTGCATAAACAGACAACATGAAGATTATGTACTGCCTGCAGTTCAAACAAAGGACACAGAATAATCATGCACCTATTTTCAGAGGCTACCCTATTAAGCCCCCTATTTGCAAATGTTATCAAGTTAACACCTGGGGAAGCCAGTGTCCTAGGAAGCAATGGCCAGAAGTATCATTGCTAGACTATTAATCCAGAAACTCAACTAATGTTCTGGGGACCCGGGTTTGAATCCGGCTGCAGCAGATGGTAGAATTTAATTTGACAAATCTGGAATTATGAATCTACTGATGATGACGCTTGTCGGAAAACTCCTCTGGCTCACTAATGTCCTTCAGAAAAGGAAACCTGCCATCCTCACCTGGTCTGGGCTACATGTGACTGCAGAGCTACTGCAATGAGGTTGACCCTCAACTGCCCTCTGAAGTGGTCTAGCAAGTTGTATCAATCACTACAATGTCTCAACAAAGAAATGAAAACAGACAGACTCTCTGGCATTGACCTAGGCACTGGAAAAGACAATGGCAGAAACGGACTTGCCAATCCCTCCTTACTAACATTTGGAGGCAAGCATCAAAATTGAGAGAGCTATCTCACAGACTAGTCAAGCAATAGTCTGACATAATCATACTCACGGAATCATAGCTTACAATGTCCCAGAACATCACCATCATCATCAGTGTATATGTCCTGTCCCACTGATAGGGTAGACCCAGCAGAGGTGGCAGCATAGTGGTATATGGTCAGGAAGCAATCCTCAACATTGACTCCGGACCCCATGGAGTCTCTTGGCATCAGGTTAAACATGGGCAAGGAAATGTCCTTGCTGATTACCACATACCATCCTCCTGCAGCTGATGAATCAATACTCCTTTGTATTGAACAATACTTGGAGGAAACACTGAGGGTGGCAAGGGTGCAAAATGTACTCTGGGTAGTGGATTTCAATGTCTAACAGCAAGAGTAACTCAGCAGCAACTTTATTGATCGAGTTGATCAGGTCCTAAGGGACACAGCTGTTAGACTGGTGGTGAGGAAACCAACAAGAGGGAAAACATATTTGACCTCATCCTTACCGATCTGCCAGCTACAGATATTTCTGTCCATGATAGTATCATCGGTAAGAGTGACCACTGCACAGTCCTTGTGGAGACAAAGTCCTCCCTTCACATTGAGAATACTCTGCATTGTGTTTTGTAGCACTATCACCATGCTAATGGGACAAACTTCAAATAGATCTAGCAACTCAAGATTGGGCGTCTATGCGGCGCTGAGAGCCATCAACAGCAGAATTGTACTTCAGCACAATCTGTAACCTCATGGCCCGGCATATCCCCTACTGAACCGTTACCATCAAGCCAGGGGATCAACCCTGGTTCAATTAAGATGCAGGCGGGCATGCAAGGAGCATCACCAGGCATACTTAAAAATGAGGTGTCAACCTCCTAAAGCAACCAAGCAGGACTCCTTGTATCCCAAACAGCACAGGCAGCAAGCAATAGACAGAGGT